TATCTTGGGAGTCTCATCAGTGCTGATGGCCTGGTGACTGACGAAATCTCGGCACGGATCCAGAAGGCTCGATTGGCTTTTGCCAACCTGCGTCACTTATGGCGTAGGCGAGATATCCGTTTGCTGACTAAAGGACGAGTGTACTGCGCAGTGGCTCGCTCTGTCTTACTTTATGGCTGTGAAACATGGCCAATGAGAGTAGAAGATACTCGACGGTTATTGGTTTTCGATCATAGGTGTCTTCGAAGCATTGCTCGTATATCGTGGGACACCCGAGTGAGCAACGCTGTTATTAGGAAACGGGTACTAGGTAAGAATGGCAGATCAGCAGCACGCGAGACCGAATTGGTCAAAATCAAATCCTTCCTACACCCCCTAGTACCTCTCTTATCTCCACGACTAACTCTTCTCACATTCATTCATCACAGTGCACAGCTAATGCAGACGATACGAGTTCGCGAAACGTCGTTCCTGGTCTCCTTAAACCTCGCTCTAGACTACATGTTGGAGCATTTAATGTACGGACATTGTGTCAAATAGGGCAACAGGCTTCCTTAGCTAGGACTTTAGAATCTCGTGCCATCGATGTATGCTGCGTCTCGGAAACGCGCATACAGGATCCGAGTCGCGTCATACACTTGACCACACCATGTCAAAATAAAGAAGCAGCTCGATTTACTCTTCGTGTATCCGGTAGCCCTGATGCTGCTTCCCGGGGTCTTGCTGGCGTAGGCATAGCATTGAGTCGTAGGGCAGAACAATCTCTCCTTGACTGGATCCCAATAGATAGTCGATTGTGCGCTGTCCGACTAAACGGGACAGTAAGGACTCGGAAAGATAGGGACAATCGCCGTTGCCTCTTCATCGTATCTGCCTATGCCCCCACTGAATGCAGTTCAGACGAGGTTAAGGATGAGTTTTACAGAAAGCTTTCGGACCTCCTCCAAAAAGCTAGGCGCTCTGATATAGTAATAATGGCTGGTGACTTTAATGCTCAAGTAGGTAGACTAAGTGAGCAGGAGAGACACCTAGGTGGATGTTATGGTGTCGCGGCTCAGAGAACAGACAATGGTGACCGTCTGTTGCAAACATGCTCAGACAACCGCCTATTCTTAGCAAACACTAACTTTAGGCATAAGGAAAAGCATCTGTTGACCTGGCGACCTCCAAAGTCGTCTCAACGTTGGACTCAACTAGATCACATCGCCATCAGCCACCGATGGAGGGGTTCGATAGAGGTC